GGCCCTCTTGGGCCGTCTTGGGGCGCTCTTGGGGGCCTATTGAGCCGTCGTGGAACGTCGGACAGCCGAAAAGGCTGGAAGGCCAAAATCGGTCGAAAACCTTCGTAAACTTGACGATTTCGGCCTCTGGAAGCGCTCTGGAGAGGCGTCTTGAAGCGTCGTGGAGTGCCTTGGGGCGCCTCTCGGGCCGTCTTGGGCCTATCTTGGGCGTCCTGGAGCGGTCTTTCGGCGACTCGGGGCCCGCTTGGGCCGTCTTGGGAGCCTCTGGAGGCCCTCCTGGACTATTTTGGACCTCCCCGGCCGCCCCTCCTCCCATGGGGGGTCGGAGGCGGCGCCCTCCGAGGCCCAGGACGCAGAAACCCTTTTAAACACACAGGGAAAATGAACCCCAGTACCCCCATGGAGGCTTTTCGGCGCTCTTGGACCGATGGGAGCTCGAAAACGCGAGAAGCCAAAAACATTGAAAAGAACATTGAACATATACGACTTTGGTCTCTCCGGGCCGTACCGCGATACCTATCAGACTTCTTGGGGTCTCTTGGAGGCCACCTGGGAGGCTCGAGAGCCGTCGGAAGGCTGACTTGGGCTGCTCGGGAGCGTCTTGGGCCATCCTTTCGCATTCTGGGGGCTCCTAGGGGGCGTCTTGGGCCCTCCTGGAGCGCTGTGGAGGCTGCCCAGAAAGGCTGGGGCAGCAGTGCCGGGAGCGTCCCCGAGATGTGGCCATATCTTTTCAGCGCGTTCCAGGAGCATCTTCCCGGAACGCGCTCGTGGCAGGGCGCCCACGTCCGAGGACGTTGGCATGGGAAACCGAAGCGCGTGATCATGCCAGCGCGTTCTGGCGAAGACCGTCCGGAACGCGCTTGGGCAAGCGCTGGGATTGAGGAAGTCGAGTGGGAACCGTTCAGGCAGTTTGGGATGCTCGGGGCAAGAGGCGGAAGCCATCCTCAGAAGACATGCAGTCCTCCTGGAGCCGTCTTGCAGAAAACAAAAGAAAAATGAGACCCTGCAGTCGTTCCTGGAGCCGTCTTGGAGCCCTCTTGGGCTGCCCTGGAGCCTGTTGGAGCCCTCTGCGGAATGGTCTTGGAGCCCGCGCCGAGGATCTGGAAAATGTCCGGGATCATCGCGGCGGCCTCCGAGGCCCGGGACGCCGAACCCCCGTGAAAACACAGCGAAAATGAGCCCCGGTACTCGCATGGAGGGTCGGGCAGCTGTTTTCGGGCCCCTGGGTTAGAACCATCGCGCGCGCTTCGCGCGCGCGCTCAGGTTCTAGCCCAGGCCAGGGGGGCGCTGGACGATCTTGGACAACGCTATCAAGCACAGGCGCGCGACGGCATCTGAGGGTCTTCTGGGGTGTTCCGCATGCTTCGTCAACTGGCTGTTGGAGGCACCTCTTGGGTGCTTCTTGGGGGGGCGTCTGAGGGTCCCTTGGGGGCATCGGTTCTGCAATCTGAAGCCGTCATTGGCCGTCTTGGCTGCGTGGAGGCCCGACTTGAGGCCACCTGCGGCCAGATTGAGGCAATCCGGAAGCCTCCCAGGGGCCTCCTGGAAGCAGTTTTGACGCATCGAGGGTACTCTTGGGCTATTTGAAAGCCTCTTGGACGTCTCCTGGTGGCCTTTTAGGCCCTCGGGGAAGCTTTTGGGGTCCTCGTCGGACCACTTGGGGGCCTCTTGCAGCCTCCTGTGGGCCTTGTGGGGGGACCGCTCTGCTGTTGGGTCGCGTTCCCCTTCTTGGGCCTCTCTTGGGGCTCTTGGGGCCCTCTCGGGCCGTCTTGGGCGCCTCAAGCACCGTCTTTGGGGCCCTCGCGGGCCGTCTTGGGGCCCTCTTGGAGGCCTCTTCCTCTATATGGGAGCGGTATTGGAAGCCTCTTGGGCCGTCTTGGAGCATCGGGATGCCAAAAGGCAGAAAAAAAACGTCAAAGCCCAATCGTAAAACAATGTGTTGTGCCTCTTGGGGCCACCTTGGGAGATCTCTTGGAACCTCGTCGGCCCTCTCGGGAGCTTCTTGGGGGCCTCTTGGATCCGATTGGGGGCCTCCTGGGACTTCCCGAGACCCTCTCGGGGTAGAAAGCTCGGATTCTCGGTTCGTGTTTCCCTTCTTGGGCCTCTCTTGGGGCCGTCTTGGGGCCCTCTCGGGCCGTCTTGGGCGCCTCAGGCACCGCCTTGGGGCCCTCGTGGGCCGCCCAGGGCCCTCTTGGAAGCCTCTTCGGCTATCTTGGAGCTGTCTGGGAGGCCTCTTCCTCCTCCTCGTCCCCCTCCTCCTCCTCCCACTCCAGCTCTCTCTCCTCCTGATCTTCCTCCTCCTCCTGCAGCGTGTTCCGGAAGGCTCCCGCCGGAACATGCTGTGCACAAGTGCTGTCACTGCTGCCGCCACCGTGCCCTGGGTGGTGGGTCAGAGGCCTCATGGGTGTTGGTTTGGATCTCGTGGTTGGCCTGTCGGGGACGTCGTGAAGGCAGTTTCGCAGCTTCTCGGTAGCCGTTTTGGGACCGTTGTGGGGCCTCCTCGGGGCTGTTTTGTGGCCTCTGTAGGCCTCGTTTGGGCCTCCTGGGTGCCTCTTGGGGGCCTCCTGGGGCCTCTTGGGGGCTCCTTGGGGCCTCCTGGGGCACTCTTCAAGCGGGAGGGTCGAATTTTGGAGTCGTGGTCCCCCTCTTGGGCGCATCTTGGGGCCGTCTTGGGGCTCTGTTGGGCTGTCTTGGGCGACTCTGGGGCCGTCTTGGGGCCCTCTTGGGCCGTCTTGGGGCGCTCTTGGGGGCCTATTGAGCCATCTTGGAACGTCGGACAGCCGAAAAGGCTGGAAGGCCAAAATCTGTCGAAAACCTTCGTAAAATTGACGATTTCGGCCTCTGGAAGCGCTCTGGAGAGGCGTCTTGAAGCGTCGTGGAGTGCCTTGGGGCGCCTCTCGGGCCGTCTTGGGCCTATCTTGGGCGTCCTGGAGCGGTCTTTCGGCGACTCGGGGCCCGCTTGGGCCGTCTTGGGAGCCTCTGGAGGCCCTCCTGGCCCATGGGGGGTCGGAGGCGGCGCCCTTCGAGGCCCAGGACGCGGAAACCCTCTAAAAACACAAGGAAAATGAGCCCTGGTCCCGCCATGGGGGGTGGAGGCACCTGTCCCGGGGCCCCCGGCCTCGTCTCAGGGATATATATATATATATATATACACACACACACACCAATCCCTTTACAAGCGTGATCAACATTCCTCTGTCGTGCAGGATAGCCCAGAAAGCTCTATTGAACGGCTAACAACCAGAAGCTCCCTACATTATCCAGCACGGCGAACATTAGTGGGAAACTAATCCGCGGGCCGCGTCGCGGGCGCGGGCGCCAAAGATGTGCATGAGTATTGTAGATGAACCAGCGCATGGTGCAATCTTCTTACAAGCGCGACGAGGTGAAGGAGGATATTGGCCATAATCAGGAATCATCCTGGCGCTCCCACCGCCCACACCCCATTCCATGCCATCCTCCAGAGTGTGGAGCGGAGTCACAGGGCGAAGTGAAAACGTCGTGAGGAGGGGGGATCTCCAACAACGTCGTGCTTTGTTTTTTATTCGTGGCGTGGGGCCAAGGGGATATCGACCCCTTCCTCTGGGACGGATTTCGTATGACGGCCCGCGGGATAAACAAACGGCCTGCAGAGGCCGAACACGTCTGCAACTGCCCGCCACGAGTTCTGGCGCGACGCCAGGATCTTGGGGAGAAAGGGGGGGAGGACGAGAAGGGGGATTCAGTGGGCGAGGGGGGGGGGGGCCGGCGCCTCTGGCCTTGGCACCCCCTGGACGAGTCAGAGTGTCCCCCTTCCCAGGGGCCCTCTGGTCCCCTCCAGAGTGCGCCCTATACCTCTCCAACTTCTCCCAATCCGCGGACCGCTCCCGGTGTGCGTTCTGATGATGGTGTCGAGGCGAATCCGGCCGTACCGACAGGGAGAGGGTAGCGATATCTGTGCCTTTCCCTCCTCTGATCGGGAGCGTCCAAGAATGGCCCGAGGCATGTGCGCGGACGAGAATGGGGGGACAACTTGGGAACGTATTGAAAGAAGGGGGCCGCGAACTCCAGGGAGATTCCATGGCCCCAGTCATGATATCCCGTAACCCCCTATTGGCCAACCCCGATCTGACAGAAGCGAGACAGCGAGGAAGTGGGCGAGGAGGAAGAGCGGAAAGAGGAGGGGAGGGATATGATCAGGCGTCGGGTAACGCACAGGACTACTCTTAAGTCGGGCCTGTCCTCCTACAGGGGAATTTTGGACGAACCGAAAAATAGTAAAGAAATACTTCAAAATTGTCAAAAATTGATCAGAAAATAGTCCCCATACTATGGTTTCACTACGTTTGAATGTTCCTCCTGTAGAGGGGCGGGCCCGACTTAAGACTACTCGTGGAGCCTGTGGGGGCTGGCTGGCACCACTCGGGGCGGGCTGCTGAGCCTAGTCGGGACCACCTGGGGGGGGCTGCCTGTGCGCAGCCCGAGGCCTTACCAGACAGAGGGGAGCGTTGGGCGTTGCTTAGCGGTGGGCGGGCCGTTGTTAGGAGGGGGTGAAGCAGCGTGCGCTCCTCGTGCCCATTTTGGGCCCCAGAGGGCCCCATCTGGCCCCAGAGGTCCACGAAAGGTGCACCTCTCTTCACGCACCCCCACTCATCGCCCCCCCCTTCTGATGAGGCAAGTTTTCGACCACCACTACCGCATGTAGGATGGGCAAGTTTTCGACCACCACTACCACTACCACTATCCTCCTCCTCCTCCTCCTCCTCCTCCTCCTCCTCCTCCTCCTCCTCCTCCTCCTCCTCCTCCTCCTCCTCCTCCTCCTCCTCCTCCTCCTCCTCCTCCTCCTCCTCCTCCTCCTCCTCCTCCTCCTCCCCCTCCTCCTCCTCCTCCTCCTCCTCCTCCTCCTCCTCCTCCTCCTCCTTCGCCCTCTCCTGCCCGACTATGGCAGTCGTGCTGGAAGCTCGGCCCCTCACACGACGCAGCGCCCGAGAGCGGCGCCCCGCTCGGACGCCCCGCGGGTCCAGCCGTTGGCGGCCCCGCCGTCGTGCTGCCACGCCCAGCGGCGGCGGCCGCCAAGGTGCCACCGCGGCCCTGCCCGCCCGCAAGGGGCGTCGGCCGCCCCCTCGAGAAAAAAAAGCCAGGACGAGGATACCACAAGGGCTCCCAGCTTCGCGCTTCGCGCCGCGCGAAGCGCGGAGTGCGAATCACTTCGCGCTCTCGCGCCGCCTCCCAGGGGAGAAGAGGAGGATGAGGAGGAATCGGAGCCGAACCGCGAAGCGCGAAGCGCGAATAACTTCGCGCCCTCGAGGGCGCCCTTGATACCATCGGGTGAAGAGAAATCGAGAACCTCTGAGATCTGGCGGCTCTGGAAACTGTGCCGAGCGCCGCGGCCTCCCGCGAGCGTTCCGGAACGCTCTGGAACAGATGTACCCTCGTCTTAGCCCCGTCCGACCCCTCCCTCTCTTGCTCGGATCGCCGCGTGGGGGCTGCTAAGGAGGAGTGGATGCTAAGGAGGGTTTTATCAGGCCTTACCTTGCTTAAGAGTGTGTTACAGATGCCCTGGAAGGCTCAGGGTTCTAGGAGGGCTGCCCGGACCTGTGCAGGCCACCTAAGGCATTTGCAACTCATTGATCACCCAAGTTAGGCCAGACATGACCCACCTTGGCATCCACTTGCAACTCTCCGTGATCTGAATTAGCGACTCCGCGGCGATCTAAGCAGGGGTTCCGAAGCGGAGCGGTGACAGACCGTGCGGTGGCATCGGCATCCACAACGACCTCACTGCACGATCCGCGCGCTTGTTGGGAGCCGGAGGCCCGAGTCGCCCGAGGCGTCCTCGGAGAACGGCCTGGGTCCCCAAATTGGGCGGCCAGCCCGAATCCCCACCGACTCACCAGACGCCGTGGCTTTCACACCGCTTTGGGGGCCCCCTCCTCCTCCTCCTTCTCCTCCTGCCTCCCCAGCCACAGAGTCGGAAAGGCCGGGGAGAGCGTCGACCTGGCCGGCGGAGGGGGTACCAGCAGATGCCTCCACAGTCGGGATTGATTGGAGAGGGCACGCGAGAGGACACAAGACCCTTCCGAGGGCAACATTGCCGCAATAATGTAGAAGGCATGCGTCGCGAACACACAGGACACAAGAGTACCCTTGGTTTGGAAGGGTCGACCTACTAATCCTGGCCGACTGTAGTCCACCTCCCTCTCTCGACGAACGTCGGCTTGACACACTCTTGAGCTGCCGTAAGCCAACCTCCCCTCCCTTTTCGCTCAGGGGCATAGGGCACGCCGAGCGGGTCGACGGGGCCCGATGGCGCCTGGCCACCGTAGCCGGGGCCTTCCTCCAAGCGAGAACCCTGCATCCGCAAGACAGGCGCAGGGCAAGCATATGCAGAACCGACGTCATCGAGCAGGCCGACCGCGCGTGCGCCTCGCCAGCCGCGGCCTGGGCAACGAAAGGAGAAACAACACAGACCGGGGCGCTTCCAATCCCAGCCGTCAACGGAGAGGGGGGGGGGCAGGCATCGGCGGCGCGCCGCGGGGGAAAGGCAACGAGGGCGGGCCTTCTCCTTGCCATCGCTGGGACGTCCGTTGTTCCTCTGCACGGTCGTGCGCTCTTCCTTTCGCTTGATATCCCCAGGTGTTCTTCAATGGTCCTTCTAGAGGCTTATTAGGCCTTCTCCGGAGGCAGAGCCGGCTTCTCGGAAGGCGCGAAGGCTTCTGAGAAGCCCCGCCGCCTTTTGAGAAGGCTTGCCCCATCTGCCTCCTCCCCTGGGCGTGCTACCGAAACGAGGGCAACTCTGGCCACCTCCAGCTCCCGGGGAATCTGTCAACAGGCTGGCCTCAAGAAGTGGGGGGCGGCAACGTCCTGCTCCTCCCCAAGAGAAGGAGGTAACGGCCCCCCGCGCCACCAACGGGGCTGCTGAAGACTCGAGCTCCAAGAGGTGAACGTTGTGAGAGATCGGGCTCCAAGCGGTGGAGATAGGAGAGAGAGAGAGAGAGAGACACAGAGAGAGAGAGACAGACAGAGAGAGAGAGGAGAGAGAGAGAGAGAGAGAGAGAGAATGGGCTCGACTCGACCTCCATCGGCCCCCCCCCCCACTTGCAGGCACCCACGGAGGAAGAGCGGTGATAAGCGGGGGGGCAACACTGCCGACTGCCGAACGTAATACCGCCGAGGAGAAGCAACAATCGCGGATTCGGCTATTCCCGACGCGGGGCTCTGGAGGTCTCAGCACCATCCCTCCCGCGAGAAGTCGGATCCAAAATCATACTATCTGATTGTGCTTGAGTCCGCAGTTGCCGTCAGGAGGTACAAATCAAGAAGACCAAGCCACCTTGACATATTCAAGAAGCCAGAGGTCGAATGTCACCGGGCGACCATAAAGAAGGCATAATGATGACCGAAGGGGCTTTTCTGGCCACCTCGAGCCTCGGCCACGAATCGGTTCTCGGGACCAAGATCTTAGGAACGGCCAAAAACCAGCTCCCCTCCAGAGCCCCAAATGGTCTTCATTTCAGCGTCTTGACCGTATGTTTGTCATTGGGTCCGAAATGGACCTCGGAAGGTACAAGCCCAGAAGACTGGCCCGCCACGATCGCCACAAATTCAAGAACTCCTTCTGTTCTGGAGGCCACCAATTGGTTCGGAAAAAAAGGTACGATGCCCAACAACACATGCTGACAACAAACCGACAACAGCCGCGGGCGACACCAACAGCCGATCATGTTCAAACTGAGCATGAATACTGTCGGTCGTTGTGCCAACTTTTCCGTACCAATCTCGATCGTCCCGATCTGTACAGCGGGTTTCTGCCGCGACAACACCAGCGTGCGGCGTAGGCACACGCAAAAACATTGGCACCGACTCGATCGTTCAACCTTGAATCGATCGCGACCCCGATCGTTCAAAATTGAATTCCGTCGGGTCCACTGGCGTCACCGTGTCACTCGGTGCGTCCTCGTCGCATATTTCAACCTAAACGCTTTCGCCGGTGTCGGTCTTTTCGATCTAGGAGGTCCTCGGAATCTGTCGACCCAGACCTTCGTATTGATCTCCTTCGAGGGTGTGTGTATTTCATAAGCGCTGTGGCCGAAACGTTAGGTGGGTCTGTTTGAAAGCTTATGCTGACCTAAACTGCCTTCGTTTAGTAGCCTCGAATGACCTATAGCGGCCTGTAGTATTATTAAAAGCCTTTACGTGGCCTTGAGTCGCCATTGCGCAGCAGTGGCCTTTAGCAGCCTTCAGTGGCCTTTAGTAGCCTGCCTAGACAAAAAGTGTCCAGAAGTGTGTCCAAGAAGTCCCACTTAAGAAACATGCTACGGTCGGCGGTTCAAGGATAGGGGGCCAGAGGGATGAATGGTGCCCTGAAGGACAGGAAGGGCTCGCAGGTGTAGTTTACACTGTTCGAGGTCCATTGTCCTCAAGACCACCATCCCTGACGGTCCAATCTTTGAACCACCGATACGGACGGCGTTCAAACTCGCTCAACCGCGCTGGCGTCGGCGCAGCGTCGGGCCGTTGGAAATATGCCGAAGGCCGTTGTTCGCTCTTGCGACTGGCCCGTGGGTCTCGACAGCGAACCGTCCTGAACAGGGCTTCCTAACTACGCCCAGCTGCGGTGGCGAAGGGTCACTCCCAAACCCAACCAACTATTACAAAAAAGCAATTGCAACAATGAGTCCTTATTACGCAAGGAGCGCGGCCCCTTTTTGTTGGCCCCGGCCCAGCGCCCAGATGCACGAGGGGTGCCAAGCGTAGGGAAGGTGAGGTCAGGTAACACCGCTGGGGGCTGTAAAATTGCCGGGACCATGCAAAATAGGAGCTCGCACGTAAGGACGGGCTTAAGGAACACAGGGCTACTTCCTAAACGACAGCGGTCCTAACTGCAACGTTTTCAGTGCAGTGTAATGAGCAGGGCCTGTCAAACGTGCGAACTCGTCCGCGGGAACCGTTCAACCTTGAGCGGTCGCATCCTTCCGCCAGGGCAGATCACTTGACATCGACCGATTCGGGGCCACCAGCGGCGCTCAACCTTGAACACCCGCGCTAGGGTGGCAGCCGCGTAGAGACGGCGAGAACCTGCCGAGCGCCACGTTCGCTCAAACTCGGTCCCTGAGCCCCTGCCAGGGGCACCCGATGGTATCTCGCAAGGATCAAAATCACAAGCCTTTGTCGGGCTGTGTCCAGCCATGGACGCGAGGGACTGGTAGGTCACTTGTTCGCCTTCCTCGGTCCTCGCGCACGCCATCTCCGCGCATCAGCGAGTGGTGGGTCGGAGCGCGTTGTTGGACTTCTTGGTATAAGCGCACCGAGGGGCTGCGCCCGAAGCGTATGCTAACTGGGCGGCCCAGGGGCAAACGCTTACATGTGTTCCGCGCCGCTGAATGTTTATAGGTGGTAGAGACAACCTTGTTACGCAAACGAATTACCATTCTAACGCGACGTTACCGCAAGCGCGTGGTCACACCATAATGTTGCGACTACGCGCAAGGAGGTGCCAGAGGCATTTGACACGCGAGTCACGCTAGCGTCTGGCACCACTGCAAGAGCAGAGTCGCGACGCTATGATGTGCCCACGCTTGCGCGGTAAAGTCTTGCGAGCACGATCCTAAAGTAAAAGGTGGCCAATTCCCGTCAGAGAGCTCCCTCGCCCACCCACAAAAGCTTAACCAAAGCGGAACAGGCTTCGAACACGGCTCCGTGGAGGTCTCGTGCGCATGCATTTCGGGGGGGGGGGAGGGAAGGCAAGGGCACGGGGTGCGCCCACGTGGAGACATGCGAAAAACGAAGTGCATGCATCACGGGCCAAGTGGGTTGCGGGGTGCACGCTGGGGCTCACGTAAGCACGCGTGCGCCGTACCCACGAGAAGATCATAACGATGACGCGTCGTGCGCGCGTGCGTAGAGCCACACACGAAGACACGCGCTGGTCATAGTGACTGGCACGAACGCGGAAAGCGTCCTTGTTCGTATCCTTGGTAATGGTGTCCTGCGTTCTCATGAACTCGGCCTTGCAGTCTGCCCGAGCTGCATCTCTTTCTTTTCAGGCTCCGCCCAAGGCAGAAGTCGAGCCGTCCATGCCGAGCGACCTTTCTGAAACCGATTGTCGATGGTGTTCGCCGCGCGCCCGAACGGCGTGGAAGCACCGCTGATGGAGTTGCGCCCGTGGGGTGACCTTCCCCTCCTTGGTTGGGGGGGCTCTTCGCCGCGCGTCTTCCTGCCCTTTCCCCCGGCGGGGCATGGGGGCGGGTGCTTCCCCGAGGGCGCGGGAACGGCCGCCCCCCCGCGCGGGGCGCCCCCCTCTCCACCCGCTTGTCGGGATGATGTGGGTTCGAAAAAGGGGGTCCTGAGTGCCTCCATCATCCCCGTCTCCCGCGAGGTACATCGGCGCGGAGCGCCCTCCCCCTCCGGAGGCCCCGACCGGGACCCACAGAGAAGTACACCCTGCGAAATGCTTAAGAAATCATGGGTTAAGAAATTCATAGTCTCAGAACTTGAACAAAAACCCGAGATTTCTATCAAAATCTTGGGATTTACATTGAAACGTTAAGAATAATCGAGACTCTGGCCGAAAATTTAAGTTTTCTTCAGCATCGCCTAAGGTGTACCCTCCCGGGGCGGGCCCCTTCGCCGCTCCCGCCCCATTGGCGGGATGCGCGCGCCAGCTTCCAGGGTCGAGCCCTCCTGGCGCGGCGAGACCCGCCCATGGCGGCGAGCGCCTCGGCCAGTGGAACGACAATGATGAAGGGGCCCTGGGACACACAAATAAATACACACAAATAAAAAGATCCCCCATATTTTCCCATATTTTCTGGGTTTCTGTCTTCCCCCCCACTTCCCATATTTTCCCATATTTTCCTGGGGATCGACGATTAATTGTGTCTGTGTGTTTCTTCCCCTCCTGAAATGACCCCCCCCAGGAAAAACATCTCAAGTCTGGTGGGTCCCGAACGGGATTCGGGGCGTGCCCCCATCCGCCAAAAGGGGAAGTGCAGCCGCACTGAAGCCAACGGCGGCGGCGGGAGGAAGGGAAGAGGAAAGAGAGCGCACGGCGAAAGGCCGGATTAAGCTGTGAAAGGGGGAACCCCAATGTTAGTGACACACCAATGGTTTCTTCTTCGACTGCTGGGCACCCACAACGCGCCCCGCCCCCTCCGAGCTCTTCCGCGGTGGCGGGCGGCCCGCTGGAGCCCGCCGCGGCGGGGGGGTCTGCGGCCGCCCCGCCAGCGCCGCCGGGGCCTGCGGCCGCGAGGGGGGTTGGCGGCGCGCGCAAATGAAGGGGCCCAAGTGAATGGGAAGTTTTCGGCCTCCTCCTCCTGCTCCTCCTCCTCTTCCTCCTCCCTCCTCCTTCTCCTCCTTCTCCTCCTCCTCCTCCTCCTCCTCCTCCTCCCTCCCCCTCCTCCTCCTCCTCCTCCCTCCCCCTCCTCCTCCTCCTCCTTCTCCTCCTTCTCCTGAGCACAAATCCCAGGACTCCCCCCATGTTCGAAATGTTGTGGATGTTCGCTTTCCCCTTCACTCCCTTCCATCTTTTCCATATTCTCCTGGGGGTCGACGATTGCTGGTGTCTGCGTGTATTTTGTTCCCCTCCTGAACAAGGGGGCAATGGGGAGGGGGGATAGCAGCTTGGAAGAAGGCTGCTTCTTAGCAGCGGCAGGCCTTACATCTATAGAGAAGACCCGCGCCTTCCAAAACGCAGCCACTGTCTCGGAAACCTCGGGACGCACTGACCCGGGTCAAACAAAAGCCAGGACAGCCGACCCTTGGTGTCCCGCAAGATCCCGCAGGATCCTGCAAGATCCTGCACGCAAGCCCAGGCCAATGCGCTTCTGGCTCTGCAGGATCCTGCCGGATCCTGCGCTCTGGCTGACCCCAGTTTGCACTCCCCCCCGTCCCTGGAGCCCCGAAAGCCTTCCGCCCTCCCCCTGTGCCGCCCAATCCGCGTGGCCGAAAGGGGGGTGTCCGGCCGGCCACGGCGCGCGGGCGGCGCCCCGACGGCTCCCAAGCCCACTGAGAGTCGTGCGACTGTTTGTGGTATTTTTGGACGTGCGTTAGCAGGCAGCGCGCACAAGAAGGCAGGGCGAGGGGGGGAAGGCTTCTTAGAAGGAGGCTCCTTCTAAGAAGGCACCCGCCCTACATCTACAGCCGAGGCCCGCGTCTTCTAAGAAGCAGGGGTGCTTCCAAGAAGCCTTCCCCCCTCTCCTACCCCCTAACCCCCCCCTCTCTGCGCGTGGCCAGGTCAGAATCAAGCGCCAACTCTCAGGCAGCCGCGGGGCCGAACGAGGGCCCGGAAAAAGGCGAAGAGAGAGAGAGGGCCCGAGGCGCGACTCAATGGCGGAGGGACAGCGACTGAGAGTCGTGCAAACGATCCACCCTGACGTTTTGGGGGGGCTGACTATCTGACAGAGGAGGGCTGCACGCACATCATTTGTTTCGGGAGGTCCGCGCGGACTTCTGGATTTTGTGCTGGAGCCCCCCAACAGTGCCTCCGGCGCCGCCCCTGGCGCGCTCCGCGCGCCAAGGGGGGGTGTCAAGCGCAGATCCAAGAAATCCGCGCGGAGTTCCATCAATCCATGTTTCTGCAGTTTTCTTCTTCGATGGGTATCGCTTAGACTGTCCACCCTAACGATTGGAGGGGGCTTGTAAGGGTTTTCGGGAGTGCTCGAAGGCTCTCGGGGCCAAGGATGGTTTCCATCAGCTGCGCCTCGTCGAGAGCGTTATGGGGTGCCAGAATCGTCCCAAACGCCCGCCAGGGAGACAAGTTCTGACCCGAGACCCAGACGCCAGGCTGGTACCCAGACCCCCTGGCGTCGTGAACGAATCACGACGGAAAGGAATTTGGCCGTTTTCGGCCTCTGGGGGCCCTCGCTGGGCCCCGGGACCGTCAAGAGATGACTCGAGATGAAACACCAATCCCAGAGAAGGGGTCTACACCTCTGTGGGTCCCAGGGCCTCTGAACCTCGTTTAACCGATTCCTGTCCCCACTGGGCCAGGGTATCTCAGCCCCACTGGCCCACGAGCCCAGGGGGGAATGCAGAGGGGGCGGGCCTTCTCGGAAGGCTCGGAAGGCCTCCGGCCTCCAGAGAAATGGTCAAAACCTTCCACGAAGACCAAAACGGCTTCTCAGCAGATTGGAGGGTTTCTGAGAAGCCCCGCTGCGTTCTGAGAAGGCCTGCCCCCTCTCACTTTCGGCGGTGGACGAACCTCCCTTTGGCAAACCTCCCCTTAATGAAAACGGCCTGGGACCGAAACCGACGGGCCTGGACCCGCAAAACTGCCGGCCGCGACGCCCTCTCGCGAACCGAACACTGCCACTTCGCTAATTGACGCGTCAGGGCAGGACGTCTACCAACCTCCGACACCTCCCCCTGGGCGCGCAGCCGACGGGTCGGACAGGTCCCGCGAAATGCCCAAGTCCGTCGAACCGCAAACGGCCAATTCCTGAATCGACGTGTCAGAGCAGGATCGGGCGAAGAGAAATATGCACATGCACCGATCCTGACAACGTCCATCCTTGACCCAGGATCGGTGCATATGCCTTCCTGGCCAAGGTAGGAGGGCATATGCACCGATCCTGGGCTCAGGATGGGTCTGGCCAGAATCGGTGTATGTGCATAGTTTTTTTTCCTCTAGCAGGAGGTCTGTCCAGCCCCCGATCCTCGACGGCCCTCGCCGCGGAGAACCTGCACACGCCCGAGCGATGCCCCCCGAGGGACACGGCCGCGCCGGCGGGCCCGGCAGGGGAGCCGCCGCGCCGCCGCTCCGCGGGCGGACCCCGGGGACGGCTCCCAGGGGCCACGGGGGGCGACGGGGGGCCGCCTCCTCCTCCTCCTCCTCCTCCTCCTCCTCCTCCTCCTCCTCCTCCTCCTCCTCCTCCCGGATCTACGACGCCAGAGTCGGCCTTTGATTGGACGGGGCACGCGAGAGGACACGAGACCCTGCCGAGGGCCACCTCGCCACAGGAACGTGAGAGGCATGGGTCGCGAGGCACAAGAAACACACGAGTACCCTTGACTTGGCAGGGTCGACCTACCAGTCCGGGCCGACTGTACGATACGGGCGACGAAAACCAAAGGATCCGACGCACGATGGCGTAGCGGCCTGGCGCTGTGGCTTACGCGGGGGGCACCGGCGCGGCACGCAACGATGGAACCTTGCGCGGGCAACTTCTGCGCAAATGTCCGCGCAGTCGACCCTGTTTTCTTCTGCGTCGCTCATATTGTTTTCTGCCAGCGGATTCTTCTCCCTGATTTCGGATCGGGCCCTGCGACAGTCAAAACGGATACAGGACTGAAAACTACCCCTAGGGAATGTATCAGGACCTCTGGAGCCACGGATTGAAACGAAAGACATCTCGGCCGACGCCAGGGAGCGCAAGGATGAGAGTTCATGATGTAGATTGAGGATGCAGGGCCATTGGAACGCCAAGGGTACGCGCTCACAAAGGGTGCCATTGGAACGAGGAGGCAGAAACCCTGCTAGTACCCAGACCCGAAAGATGCGAGGGTGTCTTGCGTCGGCGGCGCATCCCTGATCCGCCTTTTGACTGTGTCCACCGCCCGTGCAGACGACATCTCGAGACTCCAACGGGCAGTGGACATGGATATGATCGGGCCCCGAGGGGGGGCCAAATCTATCCACATCCACCGCCACACGAGGTTCAGGAAGATCGTGAGGAGGAACGACGGGGGGGGGGACTCGGGGGGGAGGGGGGAAACACCGACTTGGAATGGCTGATACATCGCCGATAGATCGGCGCAAGGCCCCCGATAGCCAATCCGCACGTTCCTTGGGGTGAGCTACCAGCTCACTAGCTGCGATCAATCGGGGTCGATGCATCCCCCCCTGAACCCATCCCCCCCCCCAGGTTGCCCCTGAAGGATGGAGATCCTGGGTCCCGTCGTCCGGATTCGCTCGAGGCCCTGGGCCTCGAGCCCCAAACCCAGCCATGGCGACGACGGGCCCCTGCGGGAGGCCCCCAAGGAGGCGACAGCGGGGAAGGGATGTGACTATTGCCATCCCTTCTGCTCCCCAGACCTCCCACGTCGTGCGTTGTTATGTTACTGTAATGCTGTGATGAACTCTGACGTATGGGAACATTTAGCCAGCTCGAGGCCCAGCCAACGCGAGCCCCGATCCTGCTCGAGGGGGAGGAGGAGGAGGTGGAGGAGGAGGAGGAGGCCCAAGGCGGCGCCACCAAGGGAGCCAGCCGAGGCAACGACGGACGGCCGAGGCCTAGGGTTCCAGCCCTCCCTCTTCGTGGCATCCATCGCCTCTGGGGCTGATTACACATCAGCTTGCGCACTGCTCCTGCACCCGTTGTTCGCCCCCATGCTTCACGATCTATTCAGAGGGACAACACATGGCATACATGGACTTTCGGAGGTCCGCGCGGATTTCTTGTATGGGCGCTGGAGCCCCCTGGCGGCACCTCTGCCGCCCCTCCCTGGCAGTCTCCGCGCAAAAATGGAGGGGGGTCCAGCGCCGATCCAAGAAATCCGCCCAGACTTCCTAAACTGTACACAGATGTACTTGTTCGGTCCTCGACCTCTATCCCCACTTTGGCTGCTCCTTCCCCCCCGCGGCAGAACAGCTGCTCGGCACAAATCTCGGGGAGACGTAAGACCCGGGTACGGGGGACTCGGAAATCCCCGACGAGGTCGTCAAAAAAATGACGAGGCCGAGCCTGCATTTTGACGAGGCCTCCCGCTGCAGACATCCCACGAAACTCCCCCTCGTCAAAATCCGAGTCGCGGTCGTCAAAAAACGATGGCGAACCCGAGTCCCGGCAAACCCGGGTCTTACGCTCCCCCGAAAATCAATGGACGCCGTTGCCTCATCCAACCTCCTCTCTCTGCCCCGTCTCAGAGGAGAAACACAGACCACAGCCAACGGGGAACCCATCGGGGGGGCTGGGAAGGGCCCCTCCCGGGGCGGTGGCACGCCGGAGCGACGCCCAGCTCCGCAGGACGACGCTCGGGCGTGCCAGGGCCCGCCCCCCCCCCGACGGGGCCTCGGTGGCGGAGGCCTCTGCCTCTCCTCTGACCGTCTCCTCCTCGCCGTCCTCCACCTCTGAAGGGGCCCCGGGACACACAAATAAATACCCACAAATAAAATAATCCCCCATATTTCCCCATATCTTCTGGGTTTCTGTCTTCCCGCCCACTTCCCATATTTTCCCATATTTTCTGGGGGATCGAAGAATAATTGTGTCTGTGTTTCTTTTCCTCCTGAACCTCGTCCTCCACCACGAGTCCCTCCTCCCGCTCCTCCGCTCCCTGGCCGCTGGGATCTTGCGGTGGGCTTCACACGTCATACCCTGAGATCCGAGGCCGCGAAAGAATTGCAGCGTCGTGGACGTGGAACAACTCGCCATGAACAGTGGAGCCCGAGACGAGGCAACATCGCCCTCTGTGACAAAACGCGGCGCAGGGCTCCTCGTGCCCCATCACCTCCTGTTTTGGACGCACGAAATGGGTACGGAAGAAATGGTCAGAATGCCCAACAGCAAATGTTGTCCCAACCCAAAGCGGCCGCTGTTGGGCAGGCGGCGCTCTGTCTCAAGTGGACACAGGCCGCGGCGGCGCGGACAGCGAGTCCGGTTCAAAATGAACAGGAACTGGTGTTGGGCATGGTACCCACTCTTTCCGTACCCATGTCGGTCGTCCCGATGATCCCCCCTCGATCGCGCAGAGGACCCCTGTTTCCCGGCCGCGCGCCCTAGCAGCGGGCACAGCACGCCGCCGCCGCCGGCGGGGCCTCGGTGGCGGCGGGAGCCGCTGCCCCTGGCCGCGGCTTGCAGACCAGCACGTAGGTCATGCCCAGGGTGCGGCGCTCCACCCGCGCGACCTCGAGGCGCCCCGACGCCTCGACGAGCGCCAGGATGTCGAAGTCGCACCGGCAGCCGTGCCGCCACGCCCAGGGCTCCGCGAAGAAGGCCTGCAGCGCCCGCAGCGGGCCCAGCGAGGCCATCCCGTGCTCCTTCGAGGGGAGCGGTCGGCCACGTCGCCGCCAGGCCCTCCTCCTCCTCCTCCTGCTCCTCCTTCTACCGGGGTCCGAGATCCTGGTCGGGGCGCAACGGCAGGGCAACGACAGGGTGGGGGCTGAGAGGCAACGACAGGAGGAGTCAGTCAAAGCCGTGTGTCAGAAGGCACATGAGCAATATGGCACACTTACCGTGCCAAGCAAAATGACCGCACTGCGCGCTTCCAGTCTCGAACTGGGATTGCGCATAAGTGTTCGATTGGAACTTGAAGACTGGATCGAGTAAAAAGGAGGAGGGGCCAGGTAAAAGGGGGGCAGCATCGAGTCGGAGTCGGCGGTGCCTCCCCGATGGATCGGCGAAAGGCCACCGAATCGATCCTGGGCGGGTCGGGCTGCCGGGCTCCTCTCGGCGAGCCATGGGCGATTGGGGGGGAGGCGATGTACCTCCCCCTCAGCCCATCACCCCCTTACACCCTGCGAAATGCTTAAGAAATCATGGGTTAAGAAATTCATAGTCTCAGAACTTGAATAAAAACCCAACATTTCCGTTCAAATCTTAGGATTTACATTGAAACGTTAAGAATAATCGAGACTCTGGCCGAAAACTTAGGTTTTCTTAAGCATCGCCTAAGGTGTACGTTTCCCAAGAGGGATGGAGCTCCTGGGTCTCGTCGCCAGTGACCAGATTCGCTCGAGGCCCTGGGCCTCGCGAGGCCCAAACCCAGCCACAGCGACGACGGGCCCCCAGCGGGAGGTCCCCAAGGAGGCGACAACGAGGCAGGGACGAGAGCATCGGCATTGGTTCTGGACCCTGCATCTCCCACGTCGTGCATTGCGTTGCTACGTTTACGAGAAGCGTTAGCAAGGGTGGACCCACACAGTGCGGATGTCAGGAGAGAGGGGGGGGAGATCCTGGGTATCGTCGCCCGTGGTCAGATTCTGCTCGAGATCCTGGATCTCGAGGCGACTCCATACACGGCGACCAAGGGCCCCGCGGGGAGGCCCCTAAGCAGACGACAACGAGGGGTGCCAGTACCGGTATCGGTTCTGGACCCTGGACCTCCCACGTCGAGCGTGTTCTGCTAATGTGTTGCTGTCGACGCGCTTTCGTTTACGAAGAATTGTCTCATCGATCCCCCATCAACGGTGCGCTTTTCTTTGCCCTCGAGTGCACTGCGCCCCTGACGCGCGCACCGTGCTCGTCTACCGAAAGTCTTGAAGATCAAAGCGTGCTGCTGGGGCCGAGGGTTATGTTGCTCCCATCGTACTTACCGACCACATCCCAGACATAATTCCGAGCACCGGGAAAAGTGTTGAAAGAGTGTCGAAACAGTGTCGAAACAGTGTCGGACGAGTGTCTCCCGGGGCCCAACACGTGAAAACTCTCGGGTTTGGGGGGACTGTTCTGGTGCTCGGAATTCTTTCTGGTGATCAAGGCTCAAGTAGGTTAGAACATCATAAGCCGAGGGCGAAACAGCGGTCTCAAGGGATGTGTGTTCTCCTCCGCGCTCCAGCAGCAGCACGCGCCCGTCGGGCCGACAGACCCGCGCCATCTCCGACAGAGCCCGCACGGGGTCCTCGAAGGAGCACACACCGTAGGTGTCCAGCACCGTGTCGAAGCTGCAGTCCTCGCGGGCGGGAAAGGAGAGGGAAGGCGTCGGCGCGGCTCCGCGAGGAGGGGGAGGAGGGGAAGAGGAGAAGGGGGGGGGCGCAAAGAGGGGAGAGGGAGAGCAGCAGGGGAAGGGAGGCGAGGGACGCGGGGGGGATGTCGAAACACCAAGGAGGGGGGTGGAACCGAGGAGGTGCGGGAGGGAGGGGGGAGGGGGGAAGGAAGGGAGAAGGAGGGCATGCAGGGGGAAAAAGAAGGGGGAAACAAGAGGCGGCAAGAGGTGCGGCATCGGCGCACGTGCCCTGCGCGCACGATCGCTAGATAAGTCGCGCCGCTTGGCCGAGGGAAGGGCAAATGGGAGGACGACACGGCGGGAGTGGGCGCGCGGGAGAACAGACGGAGGAGAAGGATGACGGTGGATGGAGAAGGTGGTTGCAGTTTGGGGAAAGCATGGCGCATGGAGGATGCGAGGGGGGGGAGAAGGAGGAAGGAGGAGGGAGGAAGAGGAAGAGGAGGAATAGTGGATACGTAGGAGATGAATAGGGGAAGAATGAAAAGATGAAGGGAGGGAGGAGAGAGGCAACGGGAGGAGGGAGGGGGGAGCAGATGGGAGCAGGCAGGGGATGAAGAAAGAGAAGACGGGAGGAGCATAGGAGGGAGCAGGAGGAGGACACTGGCGTGCCTCATAATTGGTCATCGTGCCGTTGCCAATAAGAAGAGGAGGAGAGCAGACGTAGCAGGATGATGGAGAAAAGAAGAGACATGACGAGGGCGAAGGGGAGAAAGGCGAGGGGGGAGTTGGGAGGCAAGGGAGGGAAGAGTTGACAAAAGGCTCCCTTCCAATGGGAAAAGGCAGGGAAGATGAGTAATGAAACGCGAGGATCACAAAGGGGAACCATGACCAAAAAGGGAATTTGAGGAGAAGAAGCACAGGAATCAAATCAAGGGGCGGAGGACGGCGCTGGCGAGGAAGAGCGGGAACGCGGACAACGTCGAGGAGGAACAGGCACAGGATGTGGGGGCGCGATGTTTGTACACAACCCCTACAAACGAACTGATCTGGCACAAGACCGCGGAAAGGGGGCTGTACAAAAATGGTGTTCCTTGGGGACACGATGTTTGTACACCAACCCCGCAAACAAGCTGGTCCGGCACAAGGTACGCGGGTAACGTAAGGGGCGGTGGCCTGAAAGCGTGCGCCGAGGAGGAGGAGGAGGAGGAGGAGGAGGAGGAGGAGGATTCTCAGGAGGGTGGGGGACACGAACAGCAAGGCCAGCGCGCTCGCACCGTCCAGCGGAGAGCTGGAGCACCTGCGGGCGCAGGTGGCAGGGGGGCAGCAAGGTGGCCTCCAATGCTGCTGCTCCTCTCCTGTCTTGCCCCTGCTGACCTGACTCGTTGCGCTCAAGCCGCCGCCGGCGCCGACAGCGCCGCACCGTAAAGCGGTCCCGCTGAAAGCCGCGTCACGCGACGCGCGCCTGCAGCAGTGCGCGAGATCGGCGCCGAGATCCCGGGCCATACTCGGGCAGGCGGGCGGGGAATTACCCTTAACCAACGCCTGGGAGGATTGATCTTCGGGGAATCGGCAAACCGTGGATCCAGGGGAAGAAGCATAATTCCTCGGAGGTCCGCGCGGAGTTCTTGAATCGGCGCTGGACACCCCTTCCTGGCGCATTGGAAGGGCCACCAAGGGTGCCCAATCCCGACCCAACATATGTTTATGCCATTGATTTTCCCAAACCAAAAGGATGGTTCTTGTTATTACCAGCACATGGATGATGGGACGACGATGGCTCTCCTTTTTTCGCGTCCCGCGTTTCGCACCGCATGTGTACGAGCGCTCGCGCTCCAGCTCTCTTGCGGGCGATGCCCACCTGAGGGCGGACCAACTTGCGGAGCCCATCCACCAGGCAAATATTTTTGGGCGGTCCCGCCCTACCGCCAGACCGGCAGTGGACCCTAACACCGCGGTGGCGGCGGACCCAAGCCCTGCCATCACGCTGGCAGCCTGGAGTCGTGACCTCGGCCCTCCGGTGAAACATCCTGCCAGCAGCAGCGGGCCAACGCAGCAGCCTCCTGGAGCCCAACCCCGATCTGGTGGCGGACCCATGCCCTCAGCGCAGGGCTGAACCTGAACGGTGTTTTTCGTCTCCGTGTTGCTGTCGTTTTCCCTCGCTCTTGTCTCGAATCCGCCGTGCCGCAAAGCGAAGTCAAAACGAAAACGGCACACGAAATCGCAAAAACACCACTTAGGCCCAGCCTGGCCTCAGCGTGCAGGCCCTCCGTCAGCGCGCTGCCCGCGGGCCCTCCGCCAGCTCGGGCGGGCTCGCGGCCGCCCTCCGCGGCTGGAGCGCGCCGGTGCGCGCCGCCCGCCGCGGGCGGAGGCGGCTGGGCCCCGTTGGCGCGCGCCTCCTCTCCTCGTAGGAGGTCCCTGGCCATCGCACGGGCGTCCATTCCCTGTGTTTTTGTCTGGTTACGTGCGTGGCTTTTTCGCCCAATGATCAAGGATGCTCCTCGATGGTCCTCGCCGACGGAAAAACACGTCCGAGCGATGCCAAGGTTCAAACTGCAAGCCCCCTGGACGCCCGTGTGGAAGCTTCTTCGGGCGCGGCGGGCCATCGAGAGCAGTCAAGAATGGGCCAAAGAGGCACGGATGCAAGGGTGCCCTTGGAAAGGCCACCCATCCTGGCCGTCGGTTTCGACTGTACACCTTCACCTTCTGCGGCAAGACATGGAAGCCTGTCATACCGATTTGCTGGCTCTTGCGAATCGACGCTGATCGACGCTAAATCGACGATGGTCGACACTTATCGACACTAAATCGGCGCTCTCTCATCGATTACCAGACGCTAATCGACGCTGGTGCATTCTAGAAGTGGACATACACGGGCTGCAAGTCTCCCACGAACTGCGACCGACTGCCCCGATCCTGACCAGGCTGATCCTGGGCCTAAGAGCGCTGTGCGCGCCCTCCTGGCATGGGCAGGAAGGGCGTGTGTACATACACCGGCCCTGAGTCCAAGGCATGCGGGGCCAAGATCTGGGGAAACTTGGGGTGCGTTCTGACCAAGATTTCGAAGCGAATCCGGTGGTGGCGACGAGGGCCTCCCGGCTCTAATAAGAGGAAACAACGGGCGAAGGGTAGCGGTGTAGGGTACCTCTTCCTTCTCTGAGGATGGGTGTGTTGGTGTATGCTTGGCGCCCTCCGATCTTCGGCTGCTGCGCAAGAGCTCCGCCCTGGCCGCTTCAAGCACGGTCACCTCGAGGCCCAGAGGCAAAGACTGGCTCCTGGGGGGACAACAAGGCCCTCATGCTGCTACATACTCCGCGGACCTCTCCCAAGGTGCGTTCTGACAAGGATTCCGAGGAGAATCAATCGGCGGCGAGCAAAACAAAAAGTGAGGAGGAGAAGGCCTTCTCAGAAGGCGACGGGGCCTCTCAGAAGGCCACGAGCCTTCTGAGAGGATTTCTGCGTCTTCGGGGAGAGGCTTAGGTAACTTCTCGGAAGCCCTGGGGACTTCAGAGCCTTCTGAGAACGCCCGCCCCTTCTCACTTCCCCTCCAGGCTCGCCGCCGAATCCAGCCGCGGAGACGAAGATCCTCCAGGACGAGCAGCGGAACTGGTACCTTCTCATCCTCTGAGCTCCTCACTGGTTGCTGCGCAGGAACTCCACCGCCTCGTCGGCGCTCATCCTGCCCGGGTCCTGGGGGCAACGGCACCCCTGCCGCTGCTCCCCCAGACCTGCTGCACCGTGACCAGCACCTCGACGAGCATCCAGCTGTGGCGGCGAGGGCTCATCTCGGGCGGGTGGTGACATTGGGAGTGACCAAAAGGGGGGATGAAGAAAAGGGCCCTGACGGGGTCTTCGCCCCTCACTGCGGTCACCCCCCATGACCCATTACCACCACCTGCCCGAACCACCACACGGATCCTG